TCAACCCAGAGAAAATTCAAATTTCTCTGGTCCAGAAATTCTCTGCAACTATAAAACTCTGATTTGATCAATTTGTCTTTGGTTCTGCTGCTGCTAATTCAATCACAATTTCCTGCACAAACAAATTAATAGTCCTTCTATGAGTTTGTGATAGATTCTATTTAAACTTAATGCTATGAATTTCTTTGGGTTCAACTTAGAGAAAATTCAAATTTCTTCGGTCCAGAATTTCTCTGAAATTATAAAACTCTGATTTGATCAATTTGTCTTTGGTTTTGCTGCTGCTGATTCAATCATAGTTTGAATGAAAGTGTTGATAACCCTTCGTTCCTGTTCTGTCGATCTCAAGCTAAACCACGTCAACAATTTGAGCCTGAATTCGAGTTTAATCTAACCTTCGCATTCAAGCCACCGAATGACCCCCTTCGATGACCCCCTCCATTCCCCAGTCAACATCGCAGCGATCTGGGTTTTCCAAATCTAGGAGAAAAAGAATAGAGAGATTTGGGCGGCCGTGATGGTGCAACGATGCATATGTATATATTTTTCAAATCCAACACTGCAGAGAGAGAGAGAGTTGATCAGAAGCTTGCTGCAATGGTTGCGTGTGGTGTTGAGGTTGGTGTTGACCGATGCTTCGCAGTGGTGCTGGCTCGGTGCAGAGGGAGAGAGAGTTGTTTGTCCATAGCTTCCGATGGTAGCTCTTCGTTTAGATCGGGTACGGAATGAGAGACAAAGAGGGGATATGTTTAGAGATTTTAGACATCAAAAAATAATTTTGTGGATCTCTTCCATTACGAAAAGTGGGAAAGGGACCCTAGACTAATTTTCCCTTATTAAAATAGTTTTAGTGATTACTTTTATTTGAATTTAAAAAAAAATTATAGTAACTTTTTATTTAAATGCTAATTTTTTTTATAAAAAAAATAAAAATTGAACCCCTTCAATTAAACAAGACTCATGTTTAATATAAAATTCTTTAAAAAATTAGTAAATTTTTCTACATTTTTTTTTCATATTGTAAAATTTCACGATTCATAGACAGTAAAATTTTACTACAACTTAACTTTCATTACATAATTATTTTAAAATTTTATAACTTTTAATTTATATTTATATTTTTATAAATTGGTATATCAAATATGAGATTAAAATATAGAGAAAAAGAGCAAAATTCATTGTCCAGCCAAAATTTTATATTTTAATCAACAAAGGAATTGATTACAACACAATCTAATTTATATTTTAATCAACAAAGGAATTGATTACAACACAATCTAATTTTTCATATAATTTTTTTTTTTGAATATAAAAATTAATCAAATAAGACTCAAATTCGATCAATTTTGAAGATTGAACATTTATAAATATATGTCTAATATGCATATGAAATAAGTTTTAAAAAATCAATTTCATTAATTAGATTAAAAAAGTAAGTCCATGTGTAATCAATTTTCGCTATTCAAATATAAAAATGTTTCCCTAACTTTCAACACAACGTTATTTTTTCCACCACTACAGCTTCGTCGCTTGCATAGATTATGGAGATAATAAAATTTCATGTAATATTCTAAGATCGTCATATTTTGAACAAATCACAAAAATAAAAAACAAGAATAAAAAAAGAAAAAAGAAAAAATAGGAGAGACAAGAGTCCTTGCTACTATGGTGAACAAAAAGATCTTTAGGTTTAATTAATTGGAGGAGAGCAAAGAGGGCTCGATGGATGTTGAGGATGATGGACTAGATGTAAGTGTGTAGTGATGGCATCTCCCAAGACACAATGGCAATTTTCATACTCATGTATAATGAAAAGGATAAATTTGTCTAAAAAATAAAATTTCCCGATAATTGTGTAATTATATAATGAAAAAATTATTTTAAATCATTTTCTCATTAGAAAATGGAAGATTTACAGTCCAGTGAAATTTTCACAAAATGGAAAAGTTTTTATATTAATTGTTAACATTTATAAAATCAATCATTAATCTATAATTAATTTTTAAAAACTACATTTCATTGTATTTTCTTCTTAGAAAATTATGCCAAGTCACTTTTGATATTATTCTCTTTTTTTTTGGGGTGTGCGGGAGGGGTGGGACACACTCCTTACCATATACACATGGAGAATTTTATTATAGAACCTTTTAGTTATGTCATTTTTTTTAGTTATGATCAATTTTTTTCTTTAATTATAACATTATTTTAAAATTTTAGTTATGACTTTTTTGCGTATGGTAATGACTTTTTTTTTTTAAACTTTTAATTATAAGTCAAAAAGTATAAAATTATGTCATTTTTTTGGGTAATTATAAGGTATATTTAATACATATTATTTGAAAAGTGTGTATCATAATTTTTTCCTATACACATGCACTACAAGAAAGAAATGGCACATTTGATTAATTAGTATTCAGCTTAAATAATATTTTTATTATATTTTGTTTATTACGTGGCTCTTTCTATCGAATCCGGATCGTCTAGAATATTTATTTTTTGTAGTTGAGATTTTTTTTTTAAATGATTATTGTATACCCTTATCTTAGTCTTGGTTTGGCTATCATTTTGGAGCTAAAATAACATAAAATAATAAAATAGGCTAAATAAGTTAATAAGACAAGCTATCATATCCAACCCATAACTATTATACCTTTTCTTTCACAAAAGTTAAAAAAGTCAAAAAAATTCAAACCAAACTAGGCTAAAAAAGTCTCAATACAAAAAAGTTGTCTATATTAGCCAATGCCAAATGAAGCTTTAGTATCATTGTACCCTTAACTTTTATAAAATTAAATTTCAGGCATTCAAAAAATCATTCTAAGATTACACTACAAAAAAATCACTCCAAAGGATCTGGACTCTTTTTTACCATACACACCTCTTTCGAACGGTATACCATATGTAGTTATCACACACACACACACACACACAAATCTTCAAATGTCATAACTAATAAATAGAATTCAGTCATAACTAAAACAAAAAAAATGAGTCATGACTAAATATTATTTGAGACATAATCAAAGACATTTTCTGTCACACCCCAAACCCGCCCCTAAAAGTTTGGGCATGACCACTACGGAAACGGACACTTAACTCATTGTACATAGGATATGGGGCCTGACCGGAAGCATTAATGTCAAACATAAACATAAAAATAATATCCATTGAGCTGTCACTATTATGCCAGGATCACAGATATGCATGAGGTAAATGAACATACAGCGACGTGCATCGAAGAACTTAACTATGTACATACATATATACAGACCTTGCCCTTAAGATTGGGCGTATAACAAAACATTGAAGGGTAAAAGAATTATACACGTTTCAAGCATAGACAGACAATCAGGGTACAAAACCAAAAGTTTAGCAAACTTCATAAAATGAGCTGCCTTCCTTTTGGTGTCTGGACACTCTGGAGCTGACCAAAGAGGAATGGATGCTATGGGTTAAGACTGACCTCCAGGGGGAGTGCCTACAAAAACAAACATAACATAAAGTGAGCCGAGCTCAGTGAATAGTAATACGTAACCCATTTAACATTTAACTTGCATTACAATGTACATGTATAAGTGCAAAGAACATATAGTTAACTTATCCTGTAATTATTTCCTGCATGGCCTTAGGTCTAAGCTTTAAACAGAATGGTTTCAAGCCCTTGAACAGAGTGGCATAAAGCCCTTCATATAATGGCATAAAGCCCTTAACAGAATGGCATAAAGCCCTTATCAGAACGGCATAAAGCCCTTATCAGAATGGCATAAAGCCCTTGAAACAAAGAACTTGTAACATCCTTGAACTTGTAACATATGGAAACATGCCTAAAACATACTTGAACATCATTTATTAATTCGAACGGAACATATCATAACTAGAGCATTTCTTGTTGTATCATGTCATTATCGTACGCTTAACAATGAGAGACTAGTTCATATTCTTATGAGGGTCACACAATGATTCTAAACTTTACACTTATAACGTAGATTCTGAATAACTTCCAATTTATAAGCCTCATAGCAAAATAACTTCAATTCATATGGATGCACATAGCTACTCTTATATTTACTCAGAATCCATCATTCAAGAATGAACATAAATTCTTTTGGGTAAATGACTTACTTTACGTGCTCTATTAATCAA